CACCACCATCACCAATATCACTACCATCACCACCATCACCAATATCACTACCATCACCACCATCGCCAATATCACTACCATCACCACCATCACCAATATCACTACCATCACCACCATCACCAATATAACCACCATCACCACCATCACCAATATCACCACCATCACCACCATCACCAATATCACTACCATCACCACCATCACCAATATCACTACCATCACCACCATCACCAATATCACTACCATCACCACCATCACACCATCACCACCATCACCACCATCACCAATATCACTACCATCACCACCATCACCACCATCACTACCATCACCACCATCACCAATATCACTACCATCACCACCATCACCAATATCACTACCATCACCACCATCACCACCATCACTACCATCACCACCATCACCACCATCACTACCATCACCACCATCACCAATATCACTACCATCACCACCATCACCAATATCACTACCATCACCACCATCACCAATATCACCACCATCACCACCATCACCACCATCACCAATATCACTACCATCACCACCATCACCACCATCACCACCATCACCACCATCACTACCATCACCACCATCACCAATATCAGTACCATCACCACCATCACCACCACCACCATCACCACCATTATCAGCGAGGGAGAGGGTGGGAGGGAGACGTGGGGAGTTTCTGTGTTTGGGACCCACTCGTCACGTGAGATGTGCGTGGAGTCTTCCTAAGTGAAGCCGAGTGGAGTGGACGCCTCGACACGCCGTCTGAGACCATCACCACCATCAACAACAACTACCACCACCACCACCACCCCACAGCCACCACTCACGAGGACCTCGCACTGCCACCCGATGTGGTCACGGATCCGCGAACCATCGCGACGCCAACGCTGGGGTCACCCTCCTTGCGGTGGTGGTGCTGGGCGAGGCCGTCACCGCATCGCGTCGCTTTCAGATGCTATATGCACTACGCTATACACTACACTATACACTACATTATACACTACTATACACTACACTATACACTATTATACACTATACACTACTATACACTACATTATACACTACTAAACACTATACACTACTATACACTACACTATACACTACTATACACTACTAAACACTATACACTACACTATACACTATTATACACTATTATACATTACATTACACTACTATAGACTACATTATACACTACACTATACACTACACTATACACTACTATACACTACATTATACACTACTAAACACTACTAAATACTATACACTACTAAACACTACTAAACACTATGCACTACTATACACTACACTATACACTACTATACACTACTCTATACACTACACTATACACTACTATACACTACACTATACACTACTATACACTACTATAGACTACACTATACACTACACTATACACTACTATACACTACACTATACACTACTATACACTACATTATACACTACTAAACACTACAAAACACTATACACTACTAAACACTACTAAACACTATACACTCCTATACACTACACTATACACTACACTATACACTACACTATACACTACTATACACTACACTATACACTGCACTATACACTACACTATACACTGCACTACTATACACTACACTATACACTGCACTACGCTATACACTACACTATACACTACACTATACACTACACTATATACTACACTATACACTACTATAGACTACACTATACTATACACTACTATACACTACTCTATACACTACACTATACACTACTATACACTACACTATACACTACTATACACTACTATAGACTACACTATACACTACACTATACACTACTATACACTACACTATACACTACACTATACACTACTATACACTAATATATACACATCCACCCCAATATTCAAATGTGCTCAAAATGCCCCCCCCCCCCCCCCAATATTTTGCTATACAATTATAATTGCTATGCTATGTAAATAAAAACAACAATTTTGCTCAGCCTTGGCCACAATATCTG